GACAGATACGCTAGTCAAAAACTTCTTTCACTGATACTCACTCCCTCCTCCAGCATACTCGGAGCTGTGGGGAAATGCAGGCTATTTGATGCCGTTCACTGAGTGATAAAAAATGCATCACCACCTGGAGACTTTTTAAGGAAAAAACAAATATTTTACAGTTCAAGAACGTGAAATGTTCATGTACAGTGTGGTGCTTTAAACTCCTTTGGAAAAATAATCCTGGAAATGCACATAAAAATCTTCAACAAAATCCATGTCAAACCCTTCTTGTGGAATAACTAGGAGTTTGGATACAGTAGTGGGAGACACTAACACAAAAGGAGGCAAAGAATATAGTATAATGTCTAAAATGCCATGAAATGCTACTGATCCAACATCTGAAAGGCTAAAATCTTCATGTACCCTTAGCTGAATGCTGACTCCTGTCTTACAGCATTTTCACCTAATGCTTATCTGAAGAGACAACATGATATTCCGTAAGTACCCTGTAAACTCTTACATCATGTTAAGTTTTAAATGTCTTGCTTTAGTACTTCTCACCATATATATGGTATTACAACAACTGAATCAAAACTTTTATTCCTTTAGCTGCTCCAAGGTGTGAGGAACAATATTTGGAAAAAGTGAAAGTAAAAAAAGGCAAGTGCTTCCATTTATTTCCTTATAAAGCACATAAACAAGGTCAAGTTTTTGTAAGTAGCAAAATTCTTGACTACTGAGATTGGTCTGCAAACCCCTGGCCACATAAGTAAATTTGTTCGATGCGTTTATTTGCTCTATAATAGTATTCTAAAGCTATCTGTTTGGTTACAGAAAGGCTTATGAAAGCCAAAACTATAACAGCAGATAGTTACTGTGAAGACGTTCATTATAAATGCCCAATTAAGCAAAGTGGACCTTGTGCAGTAATTAGCAAAGCATGAGATCTCACGAGTAGCCAGTTCCTGAAAGAAAAGCAGCTGAGTGCAGACAAGATCGAGACAGCAGCTGAAAAACACACCCCGATCAGGCAGCAGTACACGTTGTACCGATGCATCTGGAAAGAACAGTTTGCTAAATAAGTCTTTTGGCCGAATGGTGCAGCTTTTTATCTCCCTTACTTGCCGTCCCACTCCGGCCCTAATCAACAGAAAGATACGGACCTATTTGTTCTCACAAGGTCGAAGCAGGGACAGAAGTGTGTAAGGAGTCCACCAACCACAGAGAACTGACACCTTTTCAGACTTTCTATTTGCACTCCACTTCTGAACCTCAACCTAGATTTCCAACTGATGGCCAGATTAGAAGGAATAAAGTTGTCCACTTCCTAGGAAGAGGTCATTTGGCAAGAATGTTGCTGGAATTCAACAAAACACCAAAATAATATGTATTTTTAATTGAAAAAAACAAACAACATGCGGCACTCACAGGACAACAGAGAACTCTGAGTCACATCTCCACATACATATTGTGAAGCTGCAGGAGGAGAAACAAGTACAGTCCAACTATATGAAAGAGTAAAGTAAGAACAAAGTATCTAACAGAAGCTGCGCTCCCATATACTAGAAAAATTGATCTTTTAAACACCTTGAGTAAGGAAAAAAAAAATCCATTACACCTACACATCCAGAGCTATTCTATCTACTAGACTGAAGTAATTCTTAGGTCAAAATTGCACTGACACCTATGTGCAGATACAGAGCTTATGCAGAGTTTGAACATCTTTGAAAATTGTGGAAACAACAGGATGTTTTATTTTCATTTATCACAATATTTTGCCAGAGTCAGGAAACATCAGTGTCACTGAAAATCCTGCCAGAAACTATCATCTAAGTAATGAATCCAACAACTCCAAAGAGGAGGGGGTGGGGGCATAGCATGGGGTGTCCTTTTCTCAACAGCTTGTTACCTAACCCTAGAACAAGTTCACAACCTAATCATTATTTCCTTTGCCTTCTACTACTCCTAAACTTGCAAGTATAACTCATCAATCCCAAGCACGCATTAGATTAATGAAGGCTCCTTAAAAATTTTCTTAAATTGCATTTCCTATACTCTGATGGTATACATAAGGTAAAGGTTTTTATTTCCATTTACCGCAATTACTAATATTGAGAATACCTGTTTTTTTTTAAGAGATGTATGTTTGCCGTAACTGTTAGTTATTTAGTGATTAAATTTTCAACTACCTAAATAATGTTAAAGGCATTTGTTATAACAGCAAGGCACAGACAAATTCTCTACTTCATCTTAGCAATTCATACCATTAACCTACTTCAGTTGAAAATTACATTAGTTTTATTAGCTTATTATTAAGTTGGCTTAAAACAATACACTGACAAAGGATTAAAGTAATACACATTTTGGTTTTGGTATCTAGATGAAAACCACCCCATAACCAAAGAGGCAACTAACATAGAGGGAATTGTTTAATGCATCTCGTGGCCTTCTTAGTTGTTTAGGAATGATTAACATACACAGTACAAGGCTCCTATAAGCAGAACTATGAACAGCATTTATTATTAATATTTCCCAACACATGCCAGGGAAATTTTCCTCTTTCTGGAACAGTTAACTGCTTCAGACTTCAGAAGAAACTTGTTTCAAACCTTCTACAATTCCATTTTGGCAGAACCTACAGAGGACCCTGACATGCAGCTAAGGGGCATTGCTGGAGGGAAAAGGAGGACGAGGAGGCCAATTTGACAGGGAGGTGGGGTAGCAAAGACCATGAGCCAAGAACTAAGATGGGGTAAGCTTGAGTTTCCACACTCCCTCCACTAACTTCATGCTCTTTCTGTAGAAAGGAATGGCAGAGCCAACCCCTCCTGCTTTGAGATCTCTCCCCGTTAGCCTGATAAGGAGCTGCAGGCACAGGACACACTGGAGACTAGGGCACTGAGGTAGAAAAGGAGGCCTTTCATTCCGTAGTCGTCATGGTAGCTTCAAGCCAGCAAGGATAATTATCAGCTCGCTTTGCCATTCTGGCTGAAATTGAATGACAAACCCCAAGTTTGGTAATCTCTGCTGAGTTCTACTTTGTACAGCTATTTATATCAGGCGTGTGGCATGGTCAGAAACCTCAGGATATTCAGCCATGGTGGTATTATTAGAACAAACATGGAGGAGAACTGCACTGGTTTTTCAGTTCTGCCTTTAGCTGGACAGTGTACAAATGCTATGGGAAAGCAGGATCGACATGTTTGCATTCTGTTCACAGTGCACCCTTCACTTGAAATCCGGCACCTGCAGAAGCCTGACAATCAAATGAAACAACTTTGTAGTGCAGCTGAACAGGCTTTGCAGTGACAAGGCTATGATAAATTGAGGGCACAGGAATCAATTTCTCCAGTGACTGAGAACACATGCTGCTGTTTCTGTATGGAACTACCCTCCTGAACTAATTAATGAAGTTATTTCTTTTCTTGCTCTTCAAACTCTTTAAGACACTGAATCCACTTTTCCAAGCACACCCAGGTAAATCAGCACAGTATTTCAAAGGGAATTTCATGAAACCCAGCCACAGTTACTAGTCAACAAATACCTTTCTAAAAGGCAAGGCCTTCAAAGACCTCTCATTATTTCCTCATTTCCTGGACATCGCTCATGTTTTCAGAGCAGAAATTCACTGAAATAGAATACTGAGGTTTACGTTATTGAATAAGAAAGAAGATTCACAAGAAACGATCAAATACTCGCACAAAAAATAAATATGAGGTTTGGGGGGTTTTTTCTGAGGAATGGCATGACCTTGGTAGCACCCTCACCCAAAAATAAACTGCACTAGAATCTTCCCAGGAGTAACAGCAGCACTGAAACAGACCTGATAATGAAGGGGCAGGCTTAGGGGTGGTATTCCCTTCTGACAGTCATAAAATATGTGCCTCAAAACTTAATCTCTGGACTGCTGGCCTGACTTACAAGAAAAAAATCAGTATCCAAAGTAAATTACTCTCAAGAACTAAACCAGAGTTGTTTACAAAGCATTTGTAAAATTTTTCATAATTTTTGTTAAATTTTTCATAATTTCTTACATCTTGGATTCCTGTTAGTATTTAGAAAAGTACTGCAAAAATATTTAATGTATTCTAAAATTGTCAGTCTTTCAAGTACTTCTTACCTGGTACAAGTAGGAGACCCTTTTCCTTCACAATGTATCTTTGTTCTGGAGAGAAGAACGAAAACTTGTCTTATCCAAAGCGTCAACTGACAATTTAAAAAAACCCCGAAGTTTTAGAGAAACTGTCCTTGGTAAAAACATTTGCATAATAACAGTACGAAATTCTTCCGAACAGATTCTCCCAATGACAAGTTTCGCAGGCAAAGATGAAGATCTTTCTCAGTGTATGAATCCATCTGTGAAGGGCTAAACAACTGCACACCATTTGAAACCCTCTGCTTGTAAGCAAGGTAACACCACCACTGTTAGACAGCTCTGTCAGTCTGATGCTGCTAAAGTCATACTCACTGAGCTGTCTGCCACTGATATCAAGAAAACAAATTAATAAACAAACCAAACCGTGCAAGTCAAACTTTGAGCCCATTCGCACAACCAGATTTTCAGACTAATACAGCACTCTGCTTCCAAACATAAGAACATGGAACAGCGCTGGAGAGGACAGCAGCAAACTGATTTACAAAAGTGTAAGGATCAAAAACAAAGCATAGAGGATTTCAATTTTCACAACTTATGCGTTACAGGAACAAATTTTCCTTTATATTAAGAATGCATTACCTTATTTTTGGCAGTCTAAATGAGTGTTCAACCATCCCTGCAACAAGAATCAGCTGATCAACAAGGACATGTCTCAAGTCCCTTGACATGGATTGGGGGGAGGGCAGGAATTCATATGGAAATTACTTTTGTAAGTCATCAAAGGATGAGCCATTCTAAAACCTTCAGTTAAGAATACACTTATGCAACTACTTTACCCACACCACTCCTAAAAAAAAGCAGCCTTTATAATTTCAGGTTCATGGTATAACGTGCATATTCACTTTGATATTACCTGCTTAGGTTATTGTGCACATTTTATTGTTGGCATTTAAAGGATTCTAATAGGATAAGAGCATTGACAGCTTAACCTTTATTAAACTGTTGATACAAGATGATTCTTTTAGCATAACGTTAGGTGAAGACATTACAAAAATTATATAGCTATTAATAGATTGCAATAAACTATTAAAAAGAACATTCTCTTTACAAGATTAGTCTTTTATTTACAATTAGAGACCAAAAAAAAAGAGGGGTTTCTTTCACAATATTTCATTAAATTAGTATTTAAATAATACTTGAGGCACTTTTCAGAGATTATTGAAACCTATGAACAATTAGATCACTGAGAGTTGAATCTGAAGAATACGTCTTCAATAATAACTGTTACATATGACAGTATTACTACTAATTGCTTTTTAAATCCAGGTATCTGGAAGGTTAAAGAGTTTGTAAAACACTGAAGTCAGCTCCAAGCTTTCTGTCTATAGTAACAAATATGCTTCCCATATTTTTCACATACAAACAATTGTTTATGTATGAATTAAGCCTCACAACATAACTCGAAGGTAGGAAGCGCCAGTACCCTTTATACAGAGTAGAAACAGACTGTGACTTGCTGAAAGGAAGAGGAAGCATGAAGTGGACAACTCCATGGACTCAGTCATCCCATTTCACAATACAGAATCTCTGATACTGATCTAGCACATTGTATTATTCTAAATACCATTGAGAACAACCTATGTTCCCAACACAAGACCTATAAATACGGAGAAGACAGATTTTAAAAAGGAGATCTGTGGTACTTTAATTGTTCATCAGTCACTATAAAACCTTTTGTGACTTTACACAAAAATCACATCACATTTCTGTCCCTGGACTTGCCAAACACTTAAAAATAACACAAGTCAAATTGTGTTCTACGTATGTCCACAACCAATGGGATAGAAATTCTTCCTCCTCATTTCAAAGCCTGTCTGTGGACAGGAGAGCTTTGCATTTTCCACATTCCACCCTACATGTAGCTTCTCTGCTTTGTGCAAAAAAATAAAAATAAATAAAAGTATGCTGCAATAAGTGAGAGATCTGAAATGCATTCATGGTTTCAAGCCAAGGGCACAGGGAAGATTTGATTTGAAATATTAAGTTTCTTGATCAAAAATTTAAAGTAATCAGACAAGGTATTGGGATGGATGGATGGATGGAAGCTGATTTCAGTGTGAAGTCTTCTCTTGTTCCTTTTGGCAAATGGACCATCAAAAAAAAAAGTTCACCCACAAGTATCACAGTTGTTCAGTATCATATCCCAAAATGGGTCCCAGCCATTTCTCCACTTCTGCAACAGACACATTTTTTCTCAGTGCATAATCTTCAACCTGCAAAGTGACCACAAACACGATGAAGATTTTGGAACTCCAGCTTTTAGTGTTCACAAAATTTTTGAGACATCTGCTAGTTACGTGTTTTTAAATGTCCTAACACTACTACAATGGACAGTGTAAGTTACCTGATCTTTACATATCTTTCCAACAGCAAAATATTTGGAATTGGGACTGGAAAAGTAGAGGCCAGAAACTGCAGAAGCAGGTATCATTGCTAGTGATTCTGTTAAACCAATTCCTGGAAAAGAGAATGAGACTCCTCTTACTCTTGAGAACAATTGCGAATAAGCAGAAAATCAAAACCTTTTTTTTGTTCGGCAGCTTCAAGCAAACTCAAAAAACCCAAGGAGCTTTCAGATGAATTAAAACAAAAACGATTTTCAACTTGTTAACTATTAAAAAAACCCACAGACCTTTAAATATACCGCAGACTTTCATTACAATTACTGTAAAGTAACTGTACAATTTGAAGGAAAAAACCTGGGAGATTTTGGCAAGAGATTTTGACACACAGGAAGCAATTTTTGGAGCAGTGAAAAATCTGTCATGTAAAATATCAGAGGAAAACAAATGGAATTCATTCCTTTTTAAGAATTGCCATCTCAAGGTTCCTGTGGACCAGGAAATACACTGCTGAATTGGTTTTTTTTCCTGTTTATATCTGGAATGTCTTTTTGCAATCATAAGGGTGCTAGAAATTTTCTCTGTGCAGCAGAACCCCGTTTACATGCAATCTGCTAATTAATGACACAACTCCTTCACCAAAAGCACTGGCAGTGTTTTGAAAATTCTTCCTTGAATGAGTCAAAATAAAAATGGCAATGAAAAGCAGAAGAGAGTAAATCCTAGAAGCACTTCAGTATTTTATGTTTTTCTGTACCACCCAGTTCAGTGGATTTTTGGAATGTCAATCTTTCATTCACATAAAAACAGTTTAAGAATCTTAGTAAAGCAGAGTTACCTGTTGTTTCCTCAATGTTTGCAAGTTTCCACATGGTGAGTTTTTCTGTATGGTCAGGCTGGCTAGGATATCCAGGGGCAGGGCGAATTCCCTCATATTTAATTTTGCGTAGGTCAGAGAGATTGAGTTGCTCAGTATTACTGTAAGCCCAGAATTCCCTTCGAACCCTTTCATGGAGCTCCTCAGCAAATGCCTTGGAATAGAATGAAAAGATTTTTTTTGGTAGTTTAGCTTGTACGGAATGATGCAATAGCTGTTTAAGACAAACCATGTCTTAGAGACTTTCTCTCCATTCCCATTTTAATTTTTAAGGGAGCTCTTAACATTGGTGAGAAATTTGAAAGAACTAAAATTCACATGCAAAACTTATTTTGCTAACTCATGTATTTTAGTTTCTTCTCTTACTAGTAGACAGTGGTTTTTTGATTGTCCTGCTTTAAAATCCTACAAACTCAAAAGATGTGGACAAGTAATCTAAAAAGTGACCTCATTGACCTATGGTAGCAACAAATCGTTATAGTCACTAAGTTTTGACTATCTGTGTGTCTTGTCCAGGACCAGCTATGGAAGGCTACATCATTCTTGCATCCGTGCTAGGATCAGAAATAAGTACACGCTGCTGCTCTTCTTTGCAGAGGTTCTAGCTGAAAGTGGGAGACAACTTTTCTGAACTGCTATTTTGCCGGCAACAGTTGCCCTTCAGGAAGAATTCCCACTTCAGTAATATCTTTAGATGGCATCTAAATATAATTTCTGAAACTCTGCTGTAGCTTGAAATACACACCTAGAGCGAACCCCACTTGCATTGCACTGAAGTTTGCTGAAAGGTGCAAGGAAACCTCATACCTCTGCCAACCGATCGCCGAGAGCCTTTACCATTATGATGTTGTATTCATCATCCTGTTTCCTAAATTCATTGCATAATTCATCTACACCAAAGCAGGCCACAGCAAATAGGCCTAAGTAGTCACAAATGCCAGAATCCATTGGTGCTATGAAGTCAGAGAGGCAGTAGTATGGATCTGTGCAGGCAGAGTCCTTTTCAGCCTAGAGTAACAAAATCAGTGCAATAAATCAGAACATTTAAAATATATTATTAATGCACTACTAAGCTAAAGACCAGTATTTTTAGGACTAAAGTGCTTAAGGCATTTCTGACAAACACCTAACTAGTCTTTGAGCCATGGTGGCTTTCCTGTAGTTAAATTAGAAGGAAACCACCTCTCTCACTCAGAGAGTATTCAGACCACTGAAGACCAAAACTTCATAGAAGAGATGCTGTGCTGAACACACATATAGAGATATTTTATTTCTATTTATAGATAGTAAGATTTATCATCTTATACTGTAGGTTTAATCTCTACAGAAGTGTACGAGCCATTCACTTCAGAGTTGGACTTGATGATCTTTGTGGGTCCATTCAATAGAGAAGTTTCTGTGACACAAATTATTACAAAATAAGGAACACTCTTGTGTTACAAAATAAGGAACACTGAGTAAGAGGAGTAATAATTAATCTCTATTCCTTACAGACTCCACATTTGCTAGCAAAACTGATGGTTGATAAGCAAACTGGAAATTCTTCAGCAATTCCCTCTATAGAAAGCCTGTGAGAGTTTGTAAACACTTCTGGTTTCTTATGCTACAAACTGTGTGCTCAGTAATCCAGACAAAACTGCGCCCAGGATGCAGACCTTACACTAGTCACACATACAAACAAACAAAATTGATCTATCACTACTGAAAAGTTGAATCCTAAAAGAAGTTCAAGTGGGTTTTATGCAAAGGAAAGTGGCCTAGAGGGAAAGGATCTGGGGGTGCTGGTCAACAGCCAGCTGAACATGAGCCAGCAGTGTGCCCAGGTGGCCAAGAAGGTCAATGGCATTTTGGCCTTAGCAGGACTAGGGAAGGGATTCTTCCCCTGTACCTGGCACTGGTGTGGCTTCACCTCAAGTACTGTGTCCAGCTCTGGGCCCCTCACTTCAGGAAAGTCACTGAGGTGCTGGAGCACATCCAGAGAAGGGTAGTGAAGCTGGTGAAGTGCCTGGAGCACAAATGCTATGAGGAAAAGCTGCGGGAGCTGAGGTTCTTTACCTGGAGAAGAGGAGGCTCAGAGGAGACCTGATTGCTCTCTACAACTACCTGAAAGGAAGTTGTAGCCAGGTGGGAGGAGGCCTCTTCTCCCACGCAACAACTGACAAAATGAGAGGGCAGTCTTAAGCTGTGCCAGGGGAGGTTTAGGTTGGACATTAGGGAAAAATTCTTCACAGAAAGGGCAATTAGACATTGGAATGGGCTGCCAGAGGAGGTGGTGGGGTCACCGTCCCTGGAGGTGTTTAAGAAAAGACTGGGTGTAGCACTGAGTGCCATGGTCGAGTTGACATTTTGGTGTTGGGTTATAGGTTGGACTCGATGATCTCAGAGGTCTATTCCAACCTAACTGATTTTGTGACTCTGTGGAATAGGAAATACACTGCTTACTGGATCCTTTTCCAAAAATGGAAAAAAGGGACACAGAAAGAGGTGACTGATCATACAAAAAGAAATTTTGAATCATATCGGTGTATTCATTGTGGAAACACGATTGCTATTTAAGAAGTTGCAGAGCTCTTGTAAATTTACCCAACTTTGAGAGAGAAAAGTTATTTCATGGCTATCACTTAGCTGAAGATTCCTATTCTATGACACTATTTTAACAATGCTTTCCACCCAACCCCAACCGCATCTTAAAAGCAAATAATACACCTTCAACCCTGAAAAACAACCTACTGGGTTAATACCATAAGGTACTATAAAACCAAAGAAATATCCTTTTTCCACACAGGTGAAATCTATATTAATTTTAAGGTTCTTTTGTAATTATTAGAATTAGGGAAAATATTAAACGCATCCCCAACTTTAAGATTTATGTCACATTCTTAACAGAGTCAATGTCATGAAGAGAATTCTCTGTACTGAAAGGAAAATTTGACGTAAGAAACAGAAGACAATTATTCACTTCTACTTCGCTCTGGTGAAGACTGCTGAATTACATACACCAGACTGGAAGAGATGCAGCTAAAATATACAGAGTCTAGAAAAACAGTATGCACAATAGCACAGAGTTTCATGGCCTTAACGTTTGAGAGAAGCCTGAATAACTTTGGATATATAAGATAAAAAAGACTAAAGAAAATAACAGTGTTCCAATAATAAAACCCATTACAAGAACATTATCAAATCAGATATTCTTCTTGGGAGAATGCTGGGAAAATACCAGTAAAAGAAACAGTAGTAAACTTGATTTACACGGGACATCAAAATATTTAACTAGGCCATAAGGTTCTGGAACAGCCCTGCATGTGTGCTTGTTGAGAGCACTTTATATAAACATCTGCCATGAATTGTCACAATCTATCTCCATGCAGCAGATAATCTGTTCCAGGGAGCTAGAACAGAAAAACTAATGAGTCATGTATGTCTTAGCACAGTTCTGCAATACCCTCATAGAATATGGTACCCCAGAAATTTACGTAATTGCTGAAATTTTTTTTCTGACCATGTTTGATAACTCTGAATATGTGAACTGTGAAGAAGCCAAATCAGAAGACAGGGAAAAAGGAGCGGCAGAATATCTTGAAAGTGCAATCTATCAAATTAAATGCAAATCTAAGTAAGTATGATTAAAGCATGAATATTTAAAATAATGATTAGCTCAATCAGAATTAGCAGCCAACTAATTCTAAACTGCCCCTTCATACGGTGAATTTTACATAAAAATTAAGACTATCAAAAACACTTATCTCCATTGAGCATTATTTTCCAGGATTTTTTAATTGTAACCGGGTTTAACCTTTAATACATTCAAGCGGAATTTTTGATCTAAAGCAGAATCCAGGGGTATTAGAGAACTAAGGTTCATTAGGTTCTAATTTAGCAATACAACATCCATGTAATGAATTTATACAGCACATTGCTTTAGGACATCTTAAATATTAAAATTAGGAAGGAAAATGCACATCATATCTGAAAATATCCAACCTATAAAGCATTTTGTACAACAATTACAGTGCAAAATACTACAGTACAAATACTTGGATCACAATGAACAAGATCTTGTTATTACTGAAAGAAATGGCAAGACAACAGCTGCAGACAGATTACAATGCCCATTTTCTACTGATTTTAATAGGACACTTCTATTGCATTCTTGCAATGCAGGGAGAAAAAAAAAATCACTTAACAAGTATGCTGTCATTGTACCTGTTGCCTCAAGCCATAAAATTTTGCTATTGGTTCTGAAGATCCCACTGCCTCTTCCACAGCATATAAGTGGATATCATCCTGAACACTTTGAGCTGGCCAGAACCCAACCACACCTCTGGCTTGTAATTTCTTTTGATTAATCAATGTTTTCAGTAGATCTTGAGCATCATTATAAACTCTCTTTGCTTCTTCACCTAGCCAAAAAAAAAAAAAAAAATAATCCCTTTAGAAAAGGTATGTTTTCACAACTGGTTAAATAGGTTTAAGAATTGTTGTAGATTGATTCACTTTCCACATAATTCTCTGATGACTGCAATGATCTGTCAGCTACAGCAAATAGAAGGACTTCATTGTGATCATGTGTATACAGCTGTAACAACATATATTTTTGGGAAAAAAACCCACAAATGCACAAAATGTTTCAGCCAGCATGTTTCAGACTGGGTGTGTGCACCTACATTGCCACAGTGCAACAGACCCAGAATGTTGTTTCCAGTGTCACCCTTGCACTTTCATCATGTATTTCAAGGTCTACTGACTAGTTTCAAAAGGAGACAGGGCTCTCTTGCCATCTTCACCCCCAAGGGGAACACAGATATATTAAGTGCTCTGCAGCCATTTTTTATCATTAAAATACCTCCCTGTGCTTCAGCAGGTGAATGTTAAATAAATAAGGTCACTGAACATTTTTCACCATTTATTTTTCAGACTCACATGGCAACAGTTGGTTCATCAAGTGTTGCTTTAAACAAATAATTTCAGTGACATTACTTGCCATGTGTTTTCAGTATTCCTATGTATTTCAAAACATTCAGAATCTTAATGCAGCACGGCAGGCTTGTTAAGGATTCTTTACATGGAGTAAATTTCAATACTCACCTACAGTTTTATCACTGAAGATCTTAGGAAAACTCCGATTGGGGTATTTTCCCCTAAGTTGCCAGACATCAAAGAAGGGCTTCCAGTCAATGTATTCTACCAACCTCTCCAGGTCATAATCTTCAAAGACTTTCGTGCCAATGAATTTTGGTTTAACTGTACGAATCAGAAGTATGATTTGACATGATGAAAATAATTTAACATTACTCTTATATGTGCTGCATAACTGATGCTCACCAGCCTCCACCACTGCAAATGACCTCTTGCAAAGTAATTGTCTTAGAATTCTCACTGTCATGTTGTTCCCAAGTCATACCACACTCCACAGTTACAAAAAACATAAAAGGAAGGCATACAAAGTTGAAAAATTAGGGCTTTTTGTTATTTCATATAAATAAACACAAATCAAAGCAACCCAGTACAAAAACCGATGGGGAAAGCGTAGGAAAAAGTGTAAGGAGGAATTTCATAGAAATGCCATGTCACAACCTGTGTGCTATGTCACAACTATACCACACCAAGTATAGTGTAGTAAGCTTTGCAATGTAATGAGCCAGGTAGACATTATTTTGCTAAGTGGTCATTAGATCTTTCTTTGATTATATCATTCATGCATAACTCATTGTTTTAGGATTTTCTTTTCAATTTTTAATTGAAATTTAATTTTTAAATGAGCTGTGAAATAATAAAGCAGAAACAGATTGCTCAAATTTATGCAAAAAAGATCTTTACTGAGACAGACCCCAATTTCCTCAAGCTGTTACACAGCTATATTCCAAAGTTTAATCAAGCATAATTTAATTGAAAATATATCTTAAATAAATACGTGAAATAAAACAAAGGCACAGCAATAACAAACGGCAACATATAAACTGACCCGGTTTATGGCCTGATAACCAGTCATTATGGAAACCTTTTCTTCTAGCTTGCTGTAGAGACAAGTATCTTCTTTCCTGTATGGACAAAAGTTAATTTCAGAAAGCCAGCCATCTTTCAGACACATAAACTGTAACTGTTGACTTTGTGGTAGAGTTTAAAATACTCTTCAGGATAAAAGTGACAACCAATAATTTCAATCCCAACCAAGTTCACAGGTATAAAGTAAGATTACCTCACAACCATACCATTATTTTTTCCTATATACTTCTAATAAACCTGGTCTACAAAATTTCTAGCTCCTCTGAAGTACAGCAGAAGTTCCTTTATTACTTCAAAATACTGTAAAATACAGGTACAGCGAGATATTCTCCTACTGCTCAGATCTCTCACCTAGACAAGACTAAGACATTAGGAAAGCATGGTGTTTTAAAATACAGTGTGGCTCAGTACCAGCAAAAGCCCCCAGTGCCATTTTCATTATCCTGGTTGTAGCTCCCCATTTTCATCTACTGCTCTAGGAGAACAGAGGTCTCCTGTAGGTTGACTGCCAGCTCCATGGAGGTGTCCTAGATACCACTGATTAGCCATTGATGACAATCAAGGATTCACCAAACATGCCAGACTCAAGCAGAATTTTTCCCTTATAGGTTAGAAAATTTGATTTCATAAGCACTTCTGGAAGTTTTCTATCAATTCTACTGCAAGTTTTAAATGAGAACAAACGCATCTGAAGGTCTTCATCAGGAGCTGAAACCAAGAGTTATGAAGCAAGTGCCGACCACTTCAAACAAGAAGCTAAATCAATTACATTTGTACCTTGAGAGACTCATAATGTTCTTGTCTGATTTCTTCATATTCCTCTAATATTTCTTCAAAGAAATCATCCTTTACACTACTGTCTAAGAGCTGGGAGCACTGAAATAAACAGGAAAGAGAAAGCAGTCAGTACATACCGTAGCATACTATAGTAAGAACAGAGCAGTCTCTTTTGGACTCGCTTCCAATTACACTTGGCAACACTAAACTAAGCCTTACCAATAATCTGGAAGCTAGATTCAAACTATTCAAACTGTCCATATTTGGAATATGAGTACTACTGAGAACACTGCCCTATTACACAGGTAGTATTAGCAGAGCCAAGTCTGGCTCTGAAAAGACGTGACAGGAAAATACTCCAAAACTTCAGAGACTAATAGTCACAGCAACACAGCCCTTGGCCTACTTCTTACAAGCAGGTATTTGCCAGTTAAGACCACCCATTTCTCTGAAAGAGAATCCAGCCCAAAAAACTCCAGTCACACATTTCTCAGTACTAATGTTGCCATCTAACTAACTTGAGAAACACATCCAAACTAGAGAGAATAGCAGTTCATATTTAACTCCATCGCTCTTCACTATAAAAAAATCTCAAAACTACAGTCAAGGACTCAGAGTTAATGTCACCCTCACTAAAGAAATGGGTATTTAAATAAAAGTACCTAGTGACAATAACTGACACAGGTAAGAGAACCACGTGGTAGCAAAAAAACAACTGAAGCAAGAGTAGTTTAGAAACTTGTCTCTGCTGTGCTTCTTCAATTTTCTGCTACAACATCAAGCCTTAGAGGAAGGGTGAGAGGCACAATAGAAAAACAGGGCATGTATTTTTGCATGGATGAGAAACTATACTTTAGAACTTACAACCACAACACTCTTGGATGCATCCAGGACATGAATTACAGGTGCGCTGTATCGTGGGGCAATTTTAACAGCCGTGTGTGTTCTTCAATGAAAAAGAAAAAAGTGATCATTTCACAACTGAAGCAAAAAAAACAAGAAAATCAAAAAATCCAACAAAAACCAGACAAAACCCCCAATGAATAAATCATGACTTAATCATAGACCAGAACTTCAAAAGAAGAAATTCATTCATCCATCTGCTACACATGAATCATTAAACACAGATTTTCATAATAGGTACATAAACACTTTTCTTCAAAGAGTAGCAGAACGCTTCATAAATAACGTGCCAACTCACATTCCCTCACTGTCTTACCAGCTGAATGAAAATCTGCAACTCATTAGTTTAAGTCTCAGAAAATTTCAGTGAGACTGTTCCAAACTAAGCCTATCAAGAACAATTTTTTAAATCCTTTTTGCTCATCTTACATATTTCCCTCCCACATGCTGGGTCTATAGATTAGCATTAACCTAAGTCACTGATGATTATTCCATTTCTGCAAGGCTCTACTTCAAAACTGGAGGCTCAAGTCCTCTACTCACCTGAAGAAGGAATTCTGCCAGTGGTCAATAAATATTACAAACTTGCATCTTGAAGATACAGTGAACCTTGCATTATAAATACAGGAGCAATAAAGACAGGTAGTGATCCTACTCTCCACTGCCCATCAAATTATGAGACAATTTGCTAAAGCCACAATTATAGAACATAATAGGTCTGCTACAACGTGAGCTGCTCTGATAAAGAAAGGAACACTGCTAACAGCTTCTAGTGATGAAAGAACCTCTGCTCAGAGTCCTGCCAAAACTCTGCAAGCAAGTGTAGGAACAAAGACCTTATAGGCCAAAGCTCAGTTTGCTTTCTGGTATGCTAAGGTCAAACACCATTTTTTAAATTAAATCTAAATCAGAATCCAGGAAGCAACCTTCCACAGTAGAAGTAAGATCTCCTTTTTCTGAACACGAGGTTTACTGATGACTGTGCAATACAGCTGTGCAAAGATTGTTCAGCATCTTCTGAATTTGCTTCTAGGAGACACACTTTTGATCTTGGCAGGTCTATGTTTTACAAAGATGTTATATCTTCTGTTCTGGTAGGAACAGACAAAGGAAACAAACAGGACATGGTCCTACAATGGCACTGCAGCAACCACTTCATACTAATTTTTTCGGTTTTTTAATAAACTTTACCAAAACGAGAATGTCATCATTATTTCTCAGCATCTGAATTTACCAAAGCAGCACAGTAAGAATGCAAACATCATCATTACTGTAAATTATGAAGAAACTCTATTGTGTAGATTCTGGAGACAAAATCCAGCCTCTCTCTCTTCAAAACTAACCTCATCTTACATCCTTCAAAATACTTATGGTCTCCTTATTCCAAATAACATCTACTTTTCACAGAGGAAAAAAAATGTAGATGGTTCTTCATTAGCAACCTCTGATACATACACAACCTTTGAGAATGTACACATGAGGTTAGGATTAAGACTGGGAAAGTAAAATTAAAGATATATTACGAATCCAGTCTTCCATATACAATACCTTTACTTGACACATATTTTATAGACACTGTATTGTGTCTGGGCACATGTATAAGTGTATATTTATATACAGCTGACATGAATAAAATTACTATTTATGTATTCAAAATTATGTATATATTCTTCAGCAATTTCTATATTCAAGGATAAAACTTGTGCTGCCTCCCTCTTAGCTACATTCATCTCTGTGAATAAATTCTACGAAGTTGTTTGATGGTGTTTATTTGACATGGATTACAAGGCCACGATGCCTCGTGTGAAAACATTGAAAAGATCTGAAGAAAGGGCTCTCCTAAGACCTCCACTCAAAATAAAGCCTTCCCTTCACTCAGCCCCTGCCTTTTTTTTTTTTTTTTAAGGAAAATCCCTCCATGTTTGTTGTCAGTATCAAAGTCGTAGGAAGAGATTCACAGGGGGAAGGAGAAAAAGAATACAGCGAACCTTGCATTATAATTACAGGAACAATAAAGCAATAAAGACTGGTAGTGATCCTACTCTCCAGTGTCTGTCAGATTATGAGACAATTTGCTGCAGACAGAAATACAGAATAGGTCTGGTTACAATATGTGCTGCTCTGATAACGAAAGCAACACTGCTAACAGCTTCCAGTTACACAAAAAATGACCTCCACAGTCTTTTGAGCTGTCACCTCCTCAAGCACACTGTAACCTAAACAAGTCAGCAGATCGTGACCCAAGGCCGTTATATGTGCCCAAAACACATCTGTGGGAATGTTCAGACTAAGTGTCGGTGAGCTGTCAACACTGATCTTCAGGAAATCACAGCAGCTCTATTATTTCATCCGAACAGATCTGAGAGAACAAGATCTCAACAGAAAAGCTCAGTCTATCAAATGCAACACGCTAAGTACTTCAAAGCAAGCAGCTAGACTTTATCCCCTGTCAGCCTGTTTGAACAGGACTGGAGTCTCAACCCAGTCATCACCTTTCTGAACAACGATCCAGGAAAATACAGTAACTTTCCTAAAGATAACAGCTCCCTTATGTCAACATGATCATTTCTAGTATCAAAATCCTGCATTTTCAGAATGTTTTGATGAATCAAAGTAGATCATTCAACCCCTTAGAAGAACAGAACTGTATTCACATGCATATGTGCATGAACTTTTAGAGAAAATATATATATATATACACTTTCACGTACAATATACACTTGCAAAATACACAACACTTGCAAAAATTAAATGCTTAAGATGTCCATTATTTGTTATGTCTTGACTACATTTTACCTCTATGTTCTAGGATTTCTGAGACAAGAAGTAACAGTCAATCTTAAGTAAAAACATACCAGCATGTATGTAATGGAAAAACGGGGAAAGAGGTAAAAGAAATGGCTATAAATTTTCTTTTTCCCTAGTTAACACTATTTTCACAGATACTGCCCATATTCCCAATTGAGATATCTTACTTAGAAGTAGTTGCTCCTCCAATCAGCAAAGGAATCTTTATTGCCAGTCTCTCCATTTCCTTAGCGACAAAAATCATCTCATCCAAAGATGGGGTGATGAGACCAGACAGGCCAATTATATCTATTGCAAATTTACAAACACACATACAGAAAAGGTTTAGCAAATACACTCTAGAAAGACACAGAAATTATTACAGAAAGGTTTATGTCATACATCAGATAGCTTCATGCACCAGATAGAAACCAAAGAGATAAAAAACAGCATAGTCACAAGTCTATAAGGAAGGTTTGACCAAATTAGAAAGTAAAAGCTTTTCAAGAATGACAATGATTCCAAATCCTCAGTTTAAGATATTTTCCAGTCTTCACAGCTGCTGAACATCTACTGCTATAGTTTCAACAATAAATAAACAGTACTTTTGGTTAGCAAACTCCAAGCCTCAGAAACTCAGCACTGAGGAAGGAAATAAGACACAATAATTATAAACTCTGCTCTTGGAAACGCTTTCAAAACGCTTCACCACCTATGTTCCACACAATTCCATCTTTTCCAAGATGCAGTAGACTGTTTCAAAGCAACTGCAACTTGTTTCAGAAAGTTCATTATTTTTACAACAATTCATTCCTGATTTCACACTCACAGATCTGGCAGGCCAAATGCCAAGTTCTTTGACTAATTTAAGACCCCACAAGGAGTTGCCTAAACCATTTCAAGGCTCCATTTATCCATCCATCCGTAAAACAAATACTAAAACATCTCTCCTGGAATTGTCCTTTTGATACAGGGTTGCAACTCCTCGGGTTAAGTTTCACAGAAGTGCCAAATACTGAATAATTAATATTGTTAATGCTGATTTCTCTGAAGACAGTCTGACCAAATCATAGACAGCATAGGAATGCAAAAAGCAGCAATAAAAAATGCAAGTGTGGTTTAAAAATCAAACAATTCAGAAGTACTAATAAAATCTCTCTATACCTGCTTTGTTCTCAACAGCAGCTCTCAATATCTTATCACATGGAGTCATGACTCCTAAATCAATAACTCTGTGAAAAGAAGTGAGATGACACATGATCCTTTAAATAATAAATCAAATATCTGCTAAAGGGCAAATAAATTTCTCTTACCATAAATAACTAACCTAAAATTGAAGTTAAAATTGAGATTTTTGTTTGTTTCTCTTAAAACCCCTTTTGGGAATTTTAATACAGGAAACATCTCTGTGTCTGGCAAAATTTTCAATAAATCAGAGTTCCAGATGGCATAGTAAGAAAATTCAAGTGCAAGAAGCTTTTTTTTTTTTTTGTTAAATAAGTTTTTGTGGTTGCACTAAGTCTGGCTGAGATGAGTTAATTTTCTTCACAGCAGCTGGTATGGTGCTGTGTTTTAGATCTGTGACCAAAACAATACTGCTAACACTTGAAAATTTAGCTACTGATGAACAATGTTCTCCCAACATCAAGGCCTTCTCTGTTTCTTACTCTAACCCCCCAAGGAATAGACTGTGAATAGACACAACCAGACAGATGACTCAAACTAACTACAGAAATATTCCATGGCATATGATGTCAAGCTCAGCAAAAAAAAAAAAAGGAGAGTAAGGTGTTTAGCAGGGGTTAGCCATCTTTGACTCAGGAACTGGCTAGGCACCAGTTTACCCATGGGAGGTACAAGGGGACTGCCTTTGCATCACTTGTTTTTTTTCCTTTCTCTCTTCTTCCTCTTCACTTATCAAACATTCTTCTCCCCTCACAGTTTTTCTCGCTTTCCTTCTTCCTCTCCTCTTTCCCCATCCCACTGAGGTTGACTGGGTGGAAGTGACTGGCTGGTGCTTAGCCACCTACCAAGGCTGTCAACAGCAGTGGCATTTCTGACGTTTTTGGATAATATAAAAAGATTTTGTGGACATCATTTCTTATATCAGGAATATAAGATGATTCACATCAAAGTTGTGCCTTATTAAAGTATACATTTTATGAAACGAGACACCGCAATTCCCTTATTACGATTTTAATCCTATTAACCCTAGCCATTGCCAAGGTTTTTATTTTTTCAAGTAAGCCACCCCAGCCTGCTGTTTTCATTCAGCCTCACTCACACTACTCATGGTGACAGAAAACTCTATGACTTCAGTTCAGTAAGTGTAAATAAAGCTCAAGAAAGCCTGAAACCAATCAAAAGAATTTCAAGAGGAAATTAAATGGAATATACTGCACATACACAGCACTGTTACTGACTTCAACACTGCATGTATTGAAGGAAAGGGATAATTTTGGCTCTTTATAGAGCAAATGACAACCCAAAGTCAAAGCAAAACTAAAGGAATGAATGATAAGACAGAGTTCCAAAGGTGATTCAGCTTTGTGCAGTATCTGACAGACTCTTGACAAAGGGCACTGATGGGAACATGAGCACTCCTTCCAACCCTGTTGCCAATCCTGCTGCACACAGACAACATTTGAAGTTCAGAAACTCACCTCTTATTAACAAAACATACCCCAGCAAGTTTTTAAACCTCATAGTTAAGAAGCAGCTTGAAAAACACACTAGAAGTTCCATTCAAATCTTACAAGAGTTTCTTTTTTCCCAATGCAACCCACACATGCTACTGCCTACTGCAACTGTTGTATCTGATTTCCTCAGACGTAAGTTTAAGACATACTTATTATATTTAACTGATATGAAACAAATACAAAAATTGATGTTCTCATTTATGTTTCCACTGATGTTAAACTGCATTCACCTCAGACGCCAATTTATTGGGAAAAACAGTATTAAAGAAGGAGGCAATACTGCCTCTTGAGCCACCCATTAGTAAAGCTGCTATGATCTGTGTTCCCAATCACAACCTGGGGAACAGAGGACAGTTTCCAAGAAATGCCCACCTCTGTTATCACCACAGCTAAAGCTAGTCTAAGGTACTAATTATCTATCCATATACAGTTGTATTCCCAGTTAGTCTCTTTACCTGAAGTTGTTGCAGCCCAGAACAACTCCCACAATGTTCTTGCCAATATCATGTACGTCTCCTTTCACAGTTGCTAATATTATTGTACCCTGATAAGGATCCTGGAAGTTGAGGAAATAACACAAGAGTTAAATTACTCAGAAGCCTCAGGATATTTGTACAGATTCTTCAACGGTGCAATCCCAATCCATGTCTCAAACTCCTTTTGTAGTAATTGTAAGGCATACTGGAGATAACACAGTAAATTATAAAAACTATTTTAAAAGATCCAGGTAATTGAAACTTGCACGTTAATTATTTTTGCAAATTGCATAGATGTTATTCAAAAATCTGTGTTTAAAAAAACAAAATAGCAGATAAAACAATTTCAGATCTGGATAGCATTTTGTGCAGTGCAATGACTGAATTCCTAAGGTATCTCTGCTCCAAATATACACCTCACCAATAAAGAGATTAAACAGACTAAATATTTAGAACAAAAGGGCATGAATACTCATAATAACATGCCTGTCTGTGCATCAAGATCTATCTTTCAATGCAATGCTGAGAAGAATTAGCAACATTAGAAGGAAAATCAAATGAATTAATAAAAGCTAAGAGACCACTTTTTAAGCAACACAAATAGCCAGGGAGACATTTCAATGCAGTGATTACAACACACTACTTCAGACTACCCAAGCTGAACAAACAAGCTGGAAAAAGGACCTCCTTGAAGAAGGGAACCTATTCTGTCACAAGAAGGTCCTCGGTTAAATGGCATTCAGCCTGACAAAGGGTGCTACCAACAGCACAACAGTCAAACTTCCCATAGCAGTTCTCCATCAGGACGCAGGACTTGGCAATACACTTTTAGTTGCATAATCACTATTGTCATTTGGAGCAGCTCCAGGCTATAACAGTGGTATATCTGAGCTGGTGCAGGATCAGATGGCAGTAAGCAACTACTTAAATTGCAAAGAGCATATTCTATGCAAAACTACAAAATATTTTTTCAGACAGTATCTCATCTCCTTTGCAGATGGCAGAACCGAATGATTAAATCCTTCTATGAAGCATGTCATATTTCTGGACATACTGAGTAGATCTCTCATGAACCTACACTGTAGTTGCAATACCATGGGTTAAAAACATCTTTATATATTACCAAGAGTGATACTAGTATTTCCCACAGTCCTAACACACTTGTTGAATAAAATCCTTGGATCCGCACCAATGCTGCTGTTTACTAAAATCTATTATTTCCCCAGTGCTTCTGTTTTACAGAAGACTGGAGAACAGGGAAGGTAAACGGAGGTCTGTAAGTCAGCCATCTCAGTACATCAACAAAAAATTCTGCAGCCGAAAATATGCTGCTGGAACGTAAGAGGAATCTGGGGAAAGAGATTAATCAAGGACAGGGGAAAGGACAAAAAGTGTTGCTCCACACTGTATCATACCTATTAACTAACAATGATTTAAGTAGTGATGGATATTTAAAAAAAATTTATTACCAATTGGATTTGCACATGAGAGGAAGAAAAATCTGTGCTGTGCAGCAAACAGCATGGGCCAGAGCACATGCCACTTTAAATAAACCCTATTTAGGGCACGCTGTGATTTCAATTGTCTTAAGCAAGGAGGTCCTCAGGTTCTGGGCACACATCCAAAAGGCTTCTTTTTTTCAATCTTGATAGAGATCAACAGCCACAGCTACTTATCCTCAAATGTAACTATCAACGTTTTGCATTTCCTGGCAGTCTGTGACTAAAACTGTCCTGGAGGTTACAGTAGCCTGGGTAACATCAGACAGATCAGTTACCAGAGTCTGTAAATCATTTTCCTTCAAGTCAACATCTAACTTTGGAGATAGACACAGCTGTTTTTATCTCACTCATCAATTCTCTACAGCGTGACAATGTATTTTTGTAAGAGGAAGGCACTACATCCCTTTCCCAGCAGAAGGTAGAAGAAGCAGGGCAGAAGTCCTGCTTCTTCCCTCCTGTTCCACTCAGCCACCAGAACATCTACACTCTCTTCAAGACTGTTTGCTATCTTTTTAAGAACCTCTCAAATTCTACTTCATTTCTTTTAACCAGAGAATTAAGTGCCAGAGAGTTCAGAGAAGATCCTAATCCAGTGCTCATGGAAGCAATGGGGAAATAATTTTCAAAAACTTTAGACAGCATCAGAACAAAACAAAAGGTGCCAAATACCAACACTGTTGGTATTAAAATAAAATTAAATTAAAGAGAATTAAAATAAAAGAGAACAGCATGAGCTGGAAAGGGATGACACATAGAAAGGTAACTTGTGACAGTCAGAGAACAGATCCATTTAAGATACAGCAGAAAAGGCATTCACAAAGAGCAGGGGAAAAGAGACCAGGCATTCTCCTGCTTCCATTAAGATTAGTCAGGTTTGATTATCAGGTCATTTTTCTTTCTAAATTATTTACTGTATTTGTTACATTTATGCTGGACAATTATACAACATATCCACAGCAAGTAGAAAGACAATGTGAAAGAAGATTTCACAGGAAGAATTAGGAACTATTCAAAAATCCATAAAAGGGAACCCAAAGGAAATACACAAATATCATAGTTTAGAAAAATTCTGCTGTTCTTCTTTTTTTTTGTTTGTGTTAAAAACCAGGTTCTGATTACAGTTATTGTCTCTGAGAACTCCTGAAGACAAGGTAAGGTTCCACAGGACTAAAAAAAAGTAAATGTACATCAAACCTAGATTTGATGGACAAAGACAAGAGAAGAAGAAAAATATTTAACAACCAGAACTGTAAGCATCTATTACATTATAAATACAGTAGAAACAGCAGATATGAGTATATAAATGGGATTTTGTCCAATTTATCTCAATTCTCTTTTCTACTGAATACTGTCCTGCAAGTAGGGACAAACAAGGTACAGCCTGTATCTTCATTTATCTATTGTTCCTACTTCCATTTATCCAATTTGGAAGCAATTACTTCAAGTATGTTCACAGGTAGTTGATAAAACTATTCTAGGCATCAGAAAGTGGCTGTGAAACAGGAACTGCAATAAAGGCCCACAACGATCCAAAAATCATTAGGTATTTTAAAATATATTTTATATATTAGATGAAACATAGTTTTCAGATCCTGGTGGCAAAACACATATATGAGAAGACAGCTATATTCAGACCCTGTTAACACTGCAAGTTGGTCATGGCTACACATGCAATGAGCATGCTATTCTATCATAACAAGAGGTCTTGAAGCCACAATCGATGAAGAAAAAGGGTGGAAGAAATTGGTTTGTTTAGGTGGGAGAATGATAAGGGCTATGGAGTAGGGAAGAGTTGAATAAAGAGAAACACGGTGACAGGCTTTGAACATGGAAAGGGAATTAGAGAGTTCCTTGAGGGCAGAAGTTGTAGAAGCAAGTGGCAAAATCTGCCATGAAGTTAAAAGTATCACGAATAATTAACACTAGAACCAAATGCCTACAAAAATACAAGAAATTAAGTTACATTGGTATAAAGGGTCTACAAATGCTCATGGTACTGTTCAGGAAACTTGTGACAACACAAAATCTGCACTTTATGAACTTCAGACCAACTTCAAATTATGTCAAGTTTTGTCAGTTTGCGTACGACTGCATCAACACTCCAGGTAGTAAAAGTAATTAGTAATAAATAACTTCTATATTTGTCAGAGCATGCTGTGACAGAGTTGCAGCACAAAGGACTGTATCTTGCCTCTTCCTCTACGCTGCCTCGTTTGGCTCTCCTTTCCTCTCTTTCTTTTTCCATATAGGGAATAAGGTGGCCAACTGCTTTCTTCATAACTCGAGCAGACTTTATTACCTGCACAGATAAAGGAGAGGGTGCAGAATAAACAATAATGACAAGGTATAGGAATAGCCTCAGTTTTCCTGTAGCTTTTCTTTATACCCATTTGAGCAATAAATGAAACTTCATCTGCAGACCCAGGTTCCAGCTTTGCAGATCATTCTGTGACAGCAAGGCTGCTGGCCTTACTGGGCTAGCCATCTACACGTGACACTTTCTTGCACAGCACAGACTCCTGGACCACTCACAACAGAACTGAAAGCTACAAACAGGCCCAGACCTGGAAGGCACTAAATGCAGTAATTTTTATTTGGATCTTTTATCTCTCTCGCTCTTTTTTTTCATGAGCTTAGACTTAAAATTATGTTTCAAATAAAGCAAAAACACTCAGGAAGAAAGGAAACAAACACATAATTCTACATAAAGGAAGCCAAGTTCCAAAATAAAATAAGAAAATCGCTGCTTCTCAGCAGCAACTGAATTTTTACAATTCCTCCTATCTGAAAAAAACAGCCAGCATAGAATGTTTTGGTTACATTTTACAATGCTAATTTTTGCAAAATAGGAAGACATATGAAATTATTTTCTCATTACCTGAGGCAGAAACATCTTCCCAGCACCAAAAAGATCACCAACAATTTTCATGCCATTCATCAAAGGCCCCTCAATTACATTTAGAGGTCTAGGATATTTTTCCTGATTTAATCTTGCTTCTTCTGTATCTGCAGTGACATACTTCTCAATGCCCTGGGAAAAAAAATTGAGAAGCTTTTATCTTGCTAGTTAGCTGCCTCCTCCCAAAACACCTCCAAAAAAGTCACACAGAAAGTACAAGTAGATGATTTAGATACTGCTTGTCTTTAGGTATACCTCAAATGTGTATTGAAAATAGGCTTTCGTAAGAAACAGAACACTGTACTTCTTAGGCATATAAGGTAATTCAAAGCAAGTCCCCACTAATAACAGATTTGTTCATTTTTCTCAACCATGCCATAAGAAAAACCTAATTGCTTCCCCAGCATAAGCGCCACTCAGTGCAGTACTACTGGAGGACTAAAAAAAAGCCTTAGGAAGTAAAAGCAGTATGTTTCTACTAACACTAGTGGAATAAAATACTAAAGGTCAAAGACTTTACCATGAGAAGTTTAAAGATAAACCATTACAGTTTTTCCTGTTATTGAAGCTAAATAAATCAGTTAAATATATTATTCATTGTTAATTAATAGCTTGTTAAAGAATGGCAGCTGAAGAACTTTTAAAGCCAAATATGTCCCTTAAAGTATGAGCGAAGATCATGTCTCTGAGAGCTGATGGGTAGGACAGTTTTCTGCACAGATTTACCTTTATGAGAGCATATTCCAGCCTTTCCTCCACAGAGCTTTTACGCCACTCATCAGTCTGTACAACTTTCTTTCCTCCTTGGGCATGATTCTGAAAAAGACAGACATCCAGAGGAGCTTGCAAGCATAAAAACTATAATTATAGGCTTTACTTTTAGAAAAAGTGGGATAATTCCAAGTACTGACTCATAAAATAATTTTAGACTATTCAAAAGGTTTTTTATATACATGCAAATCACGTTGCAAACACCTGAGATATACTACAGGGCACTCACGGGGATCTACATCCCAAAGGGTACATACCTCAGTGAAAATGTAAACAAAATAAAGTTTTAAAAAAAATATTTAAAAAGAGAGAGCAGTTTGATAATTTTTACGCTCCTAAAAATGATGAAATGACTAATCCTAAGGGTTTCACTTTTGGGAACATAATTTAAATTGATTCCTGGCCCACACACTACACTTAATTTTAAAATTCTAATTAATTTGGCTCTAATTCAGTTTCTGCTGGAATAGGTTATGTTATTCCATATCACAGACGTGTTTTCAATCAGGCAGCCCACAAAATTACTGTTTGTCACGCACACAGACTGTCCCAAAACACCACATATTCTCTTTGTTTCACCCTCATGTTCCCCTTGGTTATGAACACAGAGGCCAAAAGGGCTTCACAGCGCAAGAAAGTTCACAAGCACCCACCCCAGGAAGGCTCATGGAAGAGCACCCTATCCATTAATTCAGCCATCACACTTCAGGCAAGTAATTTCTTTTCGTCTCTCAGTTATTGGACATAATCTGACATCTTTCAGGCCTTATGAACCTCATATACTTCTGAGTGCTCATCAGCAAGTTTTTAAAACCATGGATAGAATGGTTTTAATTGTATAAATTAAATATAATGGAATAAAACCATGGAAACAATATGTCATTCATAGGAACAGAAACCAGAACAAGTTTTCATTCATGTTTATATGAATGTTAGCTAACTTCACAGCTTCTTGTTGCCTAATTTTATTCCCCTCATACATCTAGTTTGTAAAAAGGGAATGAAAGGAGGAAAATGTTGCCTGGAGATGTTGTAAAGTCCTCATTCTAAGTTAAATTAAAAATCTGACTGGACATGTCCCTGGCTGGCCCTGATTTGAGCAGGAGGGTTGTACTAGATGACCTCCAGAGGTCCCTTTCCACTTCAGCCCTTCTGTGATTCATTGAAAAGGTACCAAGTGCTCCTCAACCTCTGGCCAGACACTTGAGCAAGGGAACCATTCCAACCTGAAAATAACATGAAGCTGCAGGGTCAGCATACAGGGACCACAGTGTCAAACACTGTATGCAGATCTTTAAAAACAGGATGATTATGCCAAATGCCAAGGATGAAAAACCCTGCCTTCAGAAGCACAACTCCCATTGTCATAAATGGGACAAAGTCCAGTTTAAGAATGTCTGAAGCTATATACTTTATGTAAATTTTTTTTTAATTTCAAACTTCAAATGAAGACTGATGCCTTAAATCTGTAAGGATTAAGTTCCTCTTTTTTGCAACCAGGTTATTTTACTCCCACAGTAAAACTACCACCACAAATAAAAGCAGAGATTCCAACAACAGCTTCCCAAACTTAGAGACCTGGGAGTCATCATCCACTTTCATTTCTACTTTTAAATTATTTTAAATTAATTATTTCTCCATTTAAATGCACATTCTACCTTCTCCAGAAACACTGCTTAAGGAAACCCTTTCTAATTCTCCTTTTTTTTCTTCCTCTTATGCAACCTTGAATACCCCAATGGTGCAACTCTGCTTCAACGGACAAGATCACTCTCAGGTGAACTGGTTAGACACTACGAGCACCATCTAAATAGCCTAAGTACAAGGGATAGAGAGAGTCTTCCTGTACTGGTTTTCAACATGCTGCCACTGCTACTATAAAGCGTGCACCACCATAGGGCAAACTACAAACCACATGAAGCTCTGCACAGAAATAATACCTCCAGGAGCTACAAAACAGACATGCAGACTTTCTTGTGCACTTCAATCTAAGAGCCACCTAACTCTGAGAGATTTTTTTGCTGTAACTTCCATTCAGAACAGGATTGCACCAGTTGTCTTTAGAAGGATAATCTGGAAACCTTCAGCTGTGGAATCTTTGTCTTTTATCACCACCATCATTACAACATCTCAAAAACACTAAACAGCTGATCCTCAATCTTGACATGTTACATGAACTGGAAATCTATGCCACAGCTACAAACCACAAGCAACTACTTCACCTTTTACCTATACTCCAAGGAAACCATTAACCACCAGAGAGAAAGGTTTACTCTGTCTCCCACAGTGCACTTCTCAATAAAGTTGCAGCATGAAGACTGGCTTGGTTGGGGTTGGCCTTTTCTGGTTTTTGTTTGGGTTTTTTTGTTGGTTTGTGAGGGTTTCCTTTGTTTGGGGGAAGTTTGTTTGGAATTTTTTGCTTCTTAATTTTTGGGGGTTTTGTTGTGGGGTTTTCTTTGTTTGTTTGTTTGTTTTTAAGAATGCCTATGCAGCTTGTTCTCCTGAAGCATTTGAAGAACTCTGGCACCGGATCTTCCATGGTACGTACGAAATTGGAGAGGTTTAATCTACCACACATTTCTTCTTATTCTACATTAATAGCTGAACCAGTTGTAGTATTGTTAGTAAATTCTAACACCCATTGTTATATTGACACATGCAGTTTATAGGCTGTTTTACCTATCATCTGCAGGGAGGTGTTGAAGCTCAGGTGCTAAACTAACTACTAGTCAAAGCTTAAAACTGAAAGTTACCTGAGCATAATGTAAAAGTTTCTCCGTTGCATCAGGATCTTTGTTCCAGATTAGATTCTCACACAGCTGTAGTAATTCCTTGTGGATATCATCATACACTGGCAGATTTCCAGCATTCACAATTCCCATGTCCATGCCATACTGAAGAAAAACAGAGAATCCCCCAGATAGGGCTGTCAGACATAGAACTGCACACCTGCCAAGTGCAAACACATGGAAGTCAAAAGCACATCATACCTTAATTGCGTGGTAAAGGAACACTCCATGCATTGCTTCTCGAATGGCATCCATTCCCCGAAAGGAGAAAGACAGATTGGAAAGACCTCCACTTATCCTGGCTCCTGGCAGTGTTTCCTATAGGAAATGCATACAGATTTTTAGAAAAGTACTTTCCAAAAAGGAAATCTAAGCAAAGCATTCAATTCATAAAACAGTTGGCTCCTGAGCTCAGTGCATTGGCTATGCATCCTTTCTGTATTCCCTGTTCCAGATTCTTCCAGTAGCTCAAATTCATAAAAAGCAATTCAAATCTTTGCAGAAAAAGATATAAGGAAAGGAGAGATCCAGCCCAGTTACGCATAAGCAGCTACCGTGGTTTCCATAGTCATAGGTGCTATTCTGAACACATCAGTCCTCCCACTGCAGCTTTCCGCATTTTCCCCATGCAGACCTACTTTTGGCTCTTCCTTTCCCCACTTCTGTGGAAACAGGAGCAGCCAGCCTGCCTGCATGCATGTCTCAGGAGCAGACTGCAGCTGAGCAGCTAAGCTCGAGGGTGCAGCCCCACTTCCAGGAGCCCTGTGGTGACACAACAGCCTGCTCAAACCCCAGATTGCTACCTCAGAGCACCTCCTGACCTATCAAAGTGTCTTGTGAAACCCAACAGTGCAGTTTCCCTGGCTCTATTTAGGTGATGCTCTTTGCTGCTGTACTTCCTTACACACACTTTAGCTAAGTAAAAAGCCAGATTACTGCACAAATCCCTTTCACAGAAAGAGGAATTTTATTAAAAAAGGCAGCTTTTCACAGCTTCAAAAGAGCTCCTTCAAAGAGCAAGCACACGAATGTGATTCTTACCTCATTAATTAAAGTGGTATATTTACAGAAGAGAAAGTGGATTGAAATATATTCATAGAACTATTTGAAGTTGTTTTACTGGAAATACAGCTATATTGGGGAATGGTTGCACTTCAGCAGAATAAGCTAAGCTTATTCTTACTAAGCTGAAATGTGTAAAATTTTGCAGCAGTGTTTTGCTGTTCTTTTTGAGGGGAGTGTTTTTCTCTTTTATGGGGGTTTGGGTTTTTAAGTAATGTTAGCAACCTATTTCAACTTAAAATAAGCTTACAACTCACTTTTATGGTTTTAGTAGCGTTGATAAAATTTATGGCATAAAGGTTATGTTCTTCCATTCCAGTTCCTATGGTTAAAATATTAGGGTCGAATATTATATCATTTGGATTGAAGTGCACTTTTTCCACAAGGAGATGATAAGCTCTGGAACAGATTGCAATCTTGGTTTCTGTTTCTGTTGCCTAGTGAAGAAAGAGAATTCTGACATGAAACTTGTAGACTACACAAAAAATAAACTCTCGAGGAATCATTTACAGCTCCAGTGACTCAAGACTTAGAATCTGTACATCGCAAATATTAGAAAAGGATTATATATATGACTTTACTATTAAAAATATCACCACCCTGTACCTAGAGTTTTGAGTCAACTCATAAAAAACAACCTCATTGCTTAACGTTTCATCATCCTATGCAAAGCTTAATATGTGGTTTTGACATAATTAAATTAATTCACAAGGATTCCACTCTCATGCAAAACACAGTTTCTGAACTAAAAATATCTTTTATGAAGGAAGGAAGAATTCAGCATGGCTGAATAGCAAGCTACATGCTCTTGTGTTAGCAGAGCTACACTTAAACAGTTACTGGACTCCTTAAACCTGTGAACAGCAAAGAAATTGCTACAAATCAGGTTCAAAAGTATTGCTAAGGTTATATAGACCTTTTTGAATCAACTGTGTCAATGAAACAAAACAACTTTGTCTTGTACAAGAATAAGGAAGCCTCACACTCCAGAAAAAATACATCTCCTTTAAAGCAACACTCACCTGCCCCACTTCATCAAAAGCCATAACAACCACAGCTGCTCCATATAATTTAATTTTCCTTGCTTTCTCCAAAAAGTCGTCTTCACCTTCCTTCAGGCTGATGCTATTTACAATGCATTTCCCTTGGCAACACTTCAAACCCGCTTCGATCACTGAAAAATTTGAGGAGTCAATGCACAATGGCACCTGTAAATAACAGAGAAGCAAGCCAGGAGAATATATGCAAGTTATGAATTACAGTTCTATGTGCTCTTTACCCATTTGGACATAAAAATCCCATCACACTAATCAGCATTTACGAATAAGAGTTTCCATATATTTCTACATTCACTTTAAATGCAAAGCTCAGAGCAAATTTACCCTAAGAGCTTCCACGGTGACTCAATCACATATCATATCGAGATCTCTACTTCTCCCTGTATTATCTTGTGTTTCTGATTTAGATTCTCATTTTTAGAGAATGCACGTTGCAGAACTACCTTTTAAAACCATGCTATATCCATAGCAACTTTAAGTTTTGTGAAAAGCAATGCTGTTATGCACTGCAAATATACAGATTATGGCTCATTGCTGCAAAACAAACCTGGCTTTTCTAATCAGTGAGAAGGACTAGCATATACTTATCTGAAAACATACAATGTTAAAGCCTCTGTTTCACCCAAAGGCCTTCCCTATTACAGCACCTTTTCCTCTTGGGGAACAACCACATCTGCTTATTAAGCACCTAAACCGGTTACTAAATAAAAGACTATCAACATCTTCTGAAAGGCAATTTACAACTCAGTAAAATGTTCTTTATTGTGACCCAATTACAACCTTTGCAATATCCGGTTCTGAAGAAATCAAGTTACAAAATCTGGTCATTGCAGCAGGGCCATCCAGCATCCCATCATCCATATTGATGTCTAGAATCTGGGCCCCCATCTCAACTTGCATTTTGGCTACACCCAGGGCTTCCTAAAGAATAAAGTCAAAAACCAAAACAACAGTCAGTAGAAGAAAATCCCAGTTATTCTCAGGATAAGATTTCACTTCCCCAAACTAAGCATGCAGTCAAAAATTTAAAAATTTGTAAGAAATCCCATAATAAAATAAGGAAGTGGTCTCTGATGTACAACAATACATAACAGCTGTTGATATGGGACAACTTATAACTAATTTTTTCACAAAACGTGACACCAGAGACCTTTAGGTGCTGGTAGTGTCACTGCCTGTAGACGGTTGGTTATACGCGTAATTGAATGGTTTAGGATTTGCATGGTAACAAGGACTTCTGACAGCACAAGATTACAGGAAAACAGTCTCTGTGATGGTATGAAATAAGGGTCTTGCATCACAAGCTCTGTTTCTTTTATAACACAGGATACTTAACTTTTCGAGACTGACATTTCTTCCAGCTGCAGAATAATCACAAGTGTTAAGAAAGAAAACTAAAGGTTTTCATCCAGCCTACATAATCATCTGAACACTCATGTCTGCTCACTTTCTCTTTTTTGTCATTCTGCAGAGTCCCTAACAACCTGGTTTAAATCACTCTTTATTTAACAGGACTGCTCCACGACTGCTACGAGCTTAAGAGTCAGAGTCCCTAAAAAACAAAGTAAGGCTTTAATTTTGATTGCATCAACTGTAACATCAGAGCATACTCTGGGGCAGAATCTCAGCTCTCAAGAGAAGTTATTCTACTATTTGTTTGAATGTTACAGTAACAATTTACACTAATGAAGACTGAGCCCTTCAGTCTCTTCATTTCTGCCCTGCAGCAGTTTCAAGAAAACAATTAATTTCCAAGCATCTTTTTCTACACCAACTCTCATGTAGCATGCAACCAAAATATATAACAATTAGATGCAACCATAACGCTGACCGGGATTTGAGAAGGGAGGGAAAGAGAGTGAGGGCTACACAGTGCCACAGTGTATCCCAAAACAAATGTACCTCCTGTGTTGAAAGAGGGGATTACACCCACTTTCTTTATTCCCTTCTCTGTAACTCAACCAACAGATGCAGTACAGACCAGGACATTTTCTAAAACCTCATCAGCTGTATAACTTAATTAAAAATGGAAAGTCATTTCCGGTAATACTTGTCAAAAAAGTCCTTGTAAAACCCTTCTATAAGGAGCTGGTACGCAGAGAAACAGAACAGTGAGAAAACAAATTCTCTGTTTTCTTAATCTTGTAACTGGTGTAGAATAGTGCTTTGTGCCAATTAAACAAACAACTAATAATACAGTGCAATGGAGCAATGAAAAATCAGAGCATCAGCTATAAAGATTATTTTTAAAATGTATACTTCATAGTTGCCTGCCATGATGAGTTTAGCAAACTTCCGTGATCCCGCAACATTGCAGCGTTCGCCAATATTAACAAAGTTGGTGTATGGCCCAATCCTGAATGGCTCCAGACCTTAAAAAGATATTTTTGAACATATTTTTAAAAACAGAAAAGACCAAACTGTGTAAGAAAGACAAAATACCTTCTCTAAACTGTAAAATAGAGGTCTGTCTCTTCAAAAACAGTGATTTCTCCGCATGTCAGTGCTCTAATGAGTAACTCAAAGAAACTAGCTCCAACACATATGCCAAAGCTTTGTATCTTTCCTCAGTAACAGTCAGTAATATACCTGATCCACAAAAAAACAACAGCCAACTTGTCTGATATAAAAAAGCGAAGGTACGATTTTTGGACATCCGTATGCATATACATACACACGTTCTCTCAACTTTCAGCTACGTTGACTCTTCCACCATCAGAGAAGCAGCAGCCCACTGAAATGACTAACAAGGACAGCTCTTAACTATGTACCCAAGTTCAGAGAAACAAGGCAAGTTGGACCCTTGGGTAGCAGGCAATGCAGAGGCAAACAAACTCTACAGCAGAAGAAACTAAGCTAATGCATGACACAACAGGCCAACCATGATTTATTTTATTTGCGCTAAACTGATTTGACTTTGAGATTAAAATACCAGACCAAAATGAAGGCAGTGTTTTACTTCAGTGCATGGCTCAAAGGCTAAAAAGAAAGCCCTGACTGTGGAACATAGACATCTAGACTCTGCTAAAACAAAAGATGTTCTAGACCTAGATGTACTGCTGGAACAGAGTCCCAGTAAGACTGAATCAACATCTGAGGCAACACAGGGCAGCTCTCTCACAGTAGGTATACCAGGATCTTGACCCATCTCTGCCATTAACTGATCTCTCTGTGCTTGACCCTGCCACGTTGCAAAGTGAGGATAAAACTACTCACTTCATCATTACAAAGTGACTGAGACTTGCAGAGTAAATATGCTGGTCTGATTATAATAAAAAGATTTCAATAAAATGTTCCATTAGTCCTTTGGCCAAAATGGTAAGATTTAGATCTGATTACACATGCATAAGCTTGCTGGATTCAGGTAGAATCAGACATTCATAGTGTTGTTCTGGTCATCAGAAAACAGACAATAAATTAATAAACGAAACTTGTGTTAGTTATGAAACTCAAATAGTTACACTCTGCTTTACCTGACAGCAGCATGGATCCTTGAGAGAGAGAAGGTGGAACGCGAGGTTTACAGAATTTCACAGCTTCAGCAATTTTCCTGAGTTACAGAAAGAAAGTAAAGAGAAAAGTTTTCAACTAAAATTAAATCACTCCAGACAAGACTCAAACAGAACACACTAGACATATACGTATATTTGCAATTTAGTCCTGTAGCAGACAAGACTAATTAGCTATTTTTACTTTGTGAGGCCAAAGGCAAAAACATACTCCCAGAAGATCCTATCATAGCTATTTGCAGGGAATGTACAAGGCTGAAGGTTTTTCAAATACAGAGATACTATAACAATGGGACACTTGAAGGATATCAGAACCCCACTGATGACTTTTACCATATTCATGATTTGTTGAGCTGAGCAATTGCTTATGACTGCAGCAAACCAACTGAACAAGGGACAAACATTGTTTTGTACTGAAACAAGTTTCTCAGATGCCAGAATGACTCATGCTGTTCACATTCACTTTCTTTTCACTCCAGTCAAGAGTGACACACAGTGTCCTCTAAACGTTTACATGCCACTTCTTCTCAGTTTATATCAGGGTAAAAATGAATCACAAGGTCCCCTTTCTTTTCAAGCCTAAGTGAAAAAGGGAGGCTTTCCCACTGACTTATTTCCAATAAGAAAGGCATGAAATGCTCCTTCTGACTAGCCAGGACTAGCACCAGCTGTACAGCATTCCTAGATCTTCTGTTCAGGCATTCCCACAACACATTCACACAACTTCCTTTCTTCTAGCATCAAAGGGAACTTTAAGTTTCACCTTGTGGTTAAGATTGCCATAAAGAGAAAGAGCATATGGCACCAGAAAGCAGAGATGGGAAGTCTATTCTATCCAATAGTATAGAGGGAGAAGTAATTCCAACACAACTTTAGATGACAAAACCAGAGGTATAATCCTTGTTTGAACCATGCCTCTACTTGTTCTTCATGAACTATGAAAGCCAGCTTGTTTCCATTCCATATATTGCTGCTATTGGCATTGAAGTGATCCATCTTTTCAGGAAACCCTAAGACAAGTCCTGGAATACTGTTCCACAGGAACAACACTCAGTTTACTAAGTTGTAAGCTACACGGTAAGCCGTAGCCCATGAGGTACCTGATATGTGCTGGTGTAGTACCACAGCAACCTCCAACTATGTTGACCAAACCATCCAAAGCAAAAGTCTGTAAAAGGGAGGGGAAAGAGAATTTTGTTCCAAGTTAATAAAGGTATCTTTTCTAATATATATATATATATTTAAATATTTTTCTCCATCTGTTAAGCAATTCAGGGAGACCACAAGAAAAGCACTAAATTAAAAAAACAAAACAATCAGCACTATATCTTCTCTTTAGGATTTGTTTTGAGATGTGGATTCCCAAGGCTAACCAGCAATTTCAACACCCAATTTTAAGCAACCACATTTGAATCTGGCCTATTTTATACTGAAGCCCCAGATGAAAACTTGGATAAGTATCAAAAACTAGTCATACTGTATTATAAAAGGGCATTAACATGCAGCAAATACTGTGTTCTCACTGACACACTGCATCTCCAGACACAGTTCTGCCTGCACAGACCAAGTGGCATGTGGAAGGACACCCTGCACTGGAACACCACCAATATCAGTGGTTCCTGTATACACAACTCAGTAAAATCCTGCCAGGTTCATAAAAAACGCTCAGCTTTTTGAACAATTCCCAAATGTAAAAGCAACATTAGGAGTGCAATGAATAACATCCACAGATCAAGCTGCAGGAAAGCTTAGTGTAGGACATGAAATTAAGTAAGGTTTTCAGAGTCTCCTAAGTAGTTTAGTCCTAGTGTGATATCTCAAATCATTATCATTCAGCAAACTGTCTATAAATAATCCAACTGACATATATAGCCATCTGAAGAAAAAAACCCAAGCCACAATACTGTAACAAATATGCATAGAATATAAGCAAAAGTTCTTGCCTACTAGTATGTCATATATGACAAACTCACAAGAAGTATTTCATACCTTTATATGCTTGGCAGTCACTTCCGGAGTTTCATCATAACCACCAAAAGTATTGGGGAGACCTTGAAACACGATTTTTTTAGTATTACAATTTGTTTAAACCCCACAAGAACAGAATTAAATTCCATAAAAGGCACATTTAAAGTAGCTACAATTATAAGAGAACTAAAATGCCTCATCACCTTTGCAATCCTTACTCAACAGGTTATTAATTATTCAAGAAAGCATTCTGGGTTCATCGTCACAGAACTACCAACAGTTAATTTCAGCAGTTTAAAATATTCTTCCTCTCTTTTTTTAAAAGTAAAAACTTTTAAATTTAAAAACCTTTTCAAGCTACTTCAACTCTACTACTGCTAATGAGATGGAACAGGTTATTACATTTCATGTGCCTTTAAGTATAGGAACATGTGCACCAACACACCTGCGTTGGGGTAACAGATGATGTAGGCTGTGGTACATTTTCCCATTGTTTCAATGAATGGACGCATTTCAACTGCCCCTAAAGCACAATTTAAGCCAATACTGGAAAATAAATTTTCAAAAATTATGTTGAAGTAAAAACACCTTTTACACAAAAGACAGATGAATGTTATTGCTGGCAACTGCTAATGCCCACAATCATCTAAAACAAAACCAACCTGATATCCAATTTCTTTAATCATCATCATCAATACAGCAAGACTGTGCAAAAGGAGAAGCCTCAGGTGGAAGAAAAGCATGAGAGGGAAAGGGACTGGACTGAACTGAACTGGGAACAGTAAATCAAGATTTCATTTCAAAATCCAGGAGCAAAGTGGCAGCATTTTGACAGCAACTGCAGCAACACGATGGCTCTGTATTTTCTAGGTGAGAGAGAGAACAAGTGGAATGAGAAAGACAGATTGGAAAGAAGTCTTGTGCTACAGGAAAAAGTATGAAAAAAAGGTTGAAAAAGTAAGACCTGCTTCCAGCTGCTAACTCATCATTTTCTTTCAAAATTACACATAAATTATGTCAACCTTGGAAAAGACTAAGAGCCACCCTCAAGATGCCTCATGGCAGCACTAAGTCTGGGCAACTGAATCTGCTATATCTTAGTAACAGGACAGCACTACAGCAGAAGTATTTTTGAATGAATAAGCTTCTTAAACAATTTTACCTGTATTAAGAGATAAAACCACATTTTCTTCCATTCAATGACAGATACATAAATGAGACTTGCACTCAAAATGTCTCCATTTGTATCAAATAGAGAAATTTCTCTTTCAGAAAGTATGTAAGAGATCTTTTACATATGTTTCCTGATCTTTCTGTACCATTCTAGAAATCACCTTTTGGGCACAGCAAAAGTCCAAAGGTGTTCATAGTGCAGCTGGAAGATAAGGATGTAAAAAAAGTTTTCTCTTTTCCTGGAATAACAATCTCAGACAGGATGCAAGCTAACCCACTGAAACAGGAATGGGTAATAGCCACATCTGTCAAATAACTGAGCCACAAAGGCTGCCTTGGAGGTGGCAGATTTAATTAAGTGCCTATGTACCCACTTAGTTTCACAGAGGTAAAAAGCAATAAAGCTCTGAATGGGACTGGGAGCACAAAATTAGTTTTGACTTTTCCCGTGTTTCCAAGGAGTAGGCAGGGCCTTGGTAACTGCACAAGTAGCAACAATAAATGCTTGCAGCTGGATTCACCTGTTGAACAGAATGACAAATCCTTGAGATCTGAGGGGTTCACAGCAACATCCAAACCCAGGGCCTTGAATATCAGAGTCAGACCAAGATCAAATAATACACATACCCCTTCTTCCTATAGCTTAGGAGTAAGAGTTGTTGTTTTTCTTTGGGAGGGTTGTTATATATGTTTGGTTTTTTTTAAACAGCCAGCTCTACCTTCACAATGCTTTCTTTATTACATCACATACTGGCCTGAAAAACTTGAAAACAATGTTTTTATTCTCGTTTCCCAATTCGGTGTTTACATATATTTGAATCCATCATACAGATCCCCTGGATACAAACAGTATGCACAAGGAATACATAATTCATTACAGTAGTGAGGCTCTGGAATTTATTCTAAGTGGGGGCTCACCCCTCAAGCTTTTCAAAGCAAAGCAAGGTAAGAATGGTTAGCAAGACTGTCCTTATCATATGCAGACAAATGCAACGTATTTCCTACTGTTAAGTCATTCAATTTACAAGCTTCCAGCTCATACTCCCTCACACTAAAAACTGCCTGAATGATTACCCATTACAGAGGTTGCTGACAAGTATATCCATGAGAATGACACAATCTAAGCATTACCCCTCTCAAAACTGTAGCCCAGACATGCAAATTCATTCAGAAACAAGAAGTAGCTTCTGTGGCCAGTATCATCTCCCCACAGCATTCAACAACATCACGAAAGAAGACATTTGAGAAAAGCAAACTGTTAACTATGCCTTAAGAGCCAGCAGCCTTGAGCCAGATTGCTGGTATGCTATCACTGCTACCCTAGTGTAATAACCATCACACATTCATCTTAATCATCACCTCCCTCCCTTGCTCATTTCTTCACAGCACTCACACATTAATTCCTAATGCTGCAGGGTGCCCTTGGGACCACAACAAACCCACACTAGGGCCTGAAACTCAGTGTATGTCTCCTTAATGCTCCCACAGTAGAAACAATCATAGGATCTCAAATAACACATCTGAGCATTTTCCATGCCCCACATCTTTCAGCACTTAGAAAGCACAGTTCACGAGCATCTCAGCTACCACCTCTATCACCCAGACACAAGCTCACACAAGCTCACACTTTTTAGGGTGGACTCCAAAACAAACTGACTTAAAGATGTCACATCACCCTGAAGAGGGCATACAAAACCTGAATGGAAACATGTGAACACACATAACGTGATTCCTACGATACTATTAATCAGCTTTTTCAAAACCCTAAAGCCACTCTGTACCAATTTGGCCGCAGAGACAACATTGAATGCAAGCTGTTCTCACTAAAACCCTTCTGCCGCAGTGTTGTATATATATATTTATGCCTTTGCATAAATGAGAAACAGGCCCTAAGCATTCAGTCCCCTAAGATAGTTTTTATGAAGTATGCTTTAATAAATTCTTGATTTCTTCTCCAGTGCCCTTCTCTTGAGAAGCAAGACTTAGAGGAAGATTATTTGAGACAGACTTATGCCAAATATGGATCACTAGGCTGTGATGCTGAGAGGAGTCAACTACCACCCTGTTCCAAGAGCCTCCATATGTTACTTCTGGAACACCGTCTGGTCTGGGAAAGTGGAGCCTCAAGGGCAGTCAGGAAAGCTGTGAATGCAGTCTTCTGCTTTTGTATCACTGAGATGACAGATTGTGCAGTTTAGCTGGAATTTTGTTGTAACAACAAACAATGGCTCATCACAATGTGCGTGGTGTACACTACTAACAGTGATCCTAGACAGAATATTCTAGGAAAAAAAAAAAATCTATTTCCTGCGGAAGTTTTTGTGTGAAGAACCAACCTGAGAGTAAAAATGGTAAAGAGGGAAGAGGGAAGAAGGTGGTAGAACAGGATATAGAAACACAGAACAATAGGGAAACAGGGAACAGTATTCAAATGGACATGCAAAACTTTGTACAATGACCAAATCTGCCACATAATCCATTTGCACAGACCTTAATCTCATACTAATTTCAACTTTTCTGCCTGAACAGAAAAGAACGCAAGTAAATGGAGGCATCAGGAACTCTCAAAATAACTATGCACATCCTTGAGAAAAACACTCAGAGCACATTTTGTAAGAGTTCAGTAAAAAGAACACTGCAACGATATCTTAACGATTTTCTCTTTCAAGACACCCAGAAACATTCCCAGCTGGCACTGCTTCCTTTTAAGAAAGAGATTTAAGCCCTGCCTGTACCAGGGATTGTAGAAGATAGCAAACTACAGTTTCAGACTTTGACTTAATTGCGATTTCAGTGTAAAAACAAAACCCCAGATTATCTAAAGCAACGAGCTAAAAATTCAGCAGTCTTTGGAAACATAATTTCTGCTGAGGGAATGACAGCAGAACATGTTAGCAATGCATATGAGTAAATATGATCAGAGGTGGTGTAGCTTCCATTTAGCCACAAGCAGGGGGTTAAAATAGA